AGTAGAGGCTGATCTTTAATCGGGCGAGCGGGAATTTTGGTGATGACGGACACGTGGCCTTTGGCACGAGTCAAGGTTTCCTAAATTTCCTCCAAAACAAAATATTTAGGTGGCGACTTTGTATATGGCAAAGCAGTCAAATTTTGGCATTATTTGATTTAAAATCGATTTTTCAAAAGATTTGACGGATTTGGACTCTTTGGTGTTTATCAATTTCACATTGCACTCGTAAGACTAGATTCAGAACCGCGAGAGTCCCAACTGTGAGGCCTTTCTTTTCAAACCTTTCCGAAAGGCGGGGCGTGGGAAAAGGCTAGTCCACAGCTAGTTAATTTTTGTGTTGTACTTAATTAATTAGCTAGAATAGTTAGTTAATTTGTGGTGTTGTAATAAATAGCTTAAATAGCTAGGACATTCATTCGGACCCTCCTGTGCGAGGGCAAAATGTAATAATATGTATATCTTCCAACCTCCATTTCTTTCTTCCTTTTATTCACTTGTTTATGATGGATAGCATAGAGCATCATGTTTCTTTTAGCATTTTCCATGATTTGCATCCATTTGTCTTGAATGCATAAGGTTCGATTCATCATTCTAACGGCATTGTCATTTATTACTTCCTTGAATACGTGTTTCACTATATGCTATCAAAGTGATTCACATAACATATTAGACAACCGGATCTATTAGCCGCATTTTGTATGTGTTACATCAGTCATCTTGTATCGTTAGGATCATACATTTTTTCTAACTCTTTTGTTTCTTTTGGCTTGCCTTGGAGTACGAGGTGAGCACTTATTGTTTTAGCATATCGCATGTGTGTGATTGTTTCCATATTAAGCATGTTTTTCATGAGGCTAAGTGCTTAAGTGACATACATGCTTTGAATGCCTGTGGATGAAGGCTAATTGCTTAAGTTTGGATGATTTGTTTAAATGTGCATATGAGATCACCTTTTCAAGTGGTACATATTCAAAACAATTTTCAAACAAACATGAAAATAAAGTGTTCCAACTTTTACAAATTAGTCTATACTTGTGTGCGTCACATAGTAAGATAGCATAATAATCAGAATAACAGCGTATAATGTAAATAAGAATTACATCATGATTAGTAGAGGTCGATTTTTGATCAGGCGAGTGGGGTGCTCAATTCATGACCTTCCTTTCTCGTACATAAGTTCTTGAGTTGAGACACTTTGGTGATGACGAACACATGGCCTTTGGCACGAGTCATGGGTTTTCTAAATTTTTCAAAAATATTTAGGTGACGACTCTAAAATCTGGCAAAGTAGTTCATTTTTGACATTTTTTATTCAAAATCAATTTTTTAAAAGATTTGCCAGATTTGGACTCATTTGTGTTTATCTATTTCATATTATACTTGTGAAATCAGATTCAAAACCACGGGAGTTCAAACTGTAGGGCTATCGTATCCGAAAGGAGTAGGAAAAGCACGCTACAGTTGACCATAATTCATTTTCCTAATCACACCTGCAACAAGTCTAGCAGGAAGGTTCCGAAATGAGGGTGGTTCCTTCCTGTGGACCCTCCGACGATCAAATTAGATGAGGATATGGTCAGAATATCAATTTAAAGAGAAGGTTGAGAGTAGAGAGAGAAAGAGAGAGAGAGAGAGAGAGAGAGAGAGAGTGTGTGTGTGTGTGTGAATCACTTGTCCCTAAGCGTTCCTTAGAAGTTTTCTTATATCTCTTACTAATCATTTCCTTGTCTATTCAAATTGTCTTGTTGGCCGAAAGTCTATAGTCTACTTGCCGTCGGTCATGGTGGTTTCACCATGCCCTAGAGCGAGAGGTCTTGTTGTATTTAATGCCATGACAACCTCATTTAATTCTTGGTGTATGGGTTTAATAACTTTGCAGGATCTTTGTCTATTACGTAGATAACTCCCTACCTGACACATGTCTAGCTGGTGCTTGGGCTTGACCATTATGAGTTTTCTATTGAGCTTAGTGTCGGGTATGTTCTGATGGGATTCAACCAAGTGACTATTTGGGTAACCCAAGACAACTGTGGGTTGGGGCCATGCCCATTAAATCTTTATTTGAATGGAGAAATTATTTGAGACTAATAAAATACTCAATTAATTAGTTATTTATGATACTTAAAATCTATTTCTCAACCTTTATTTATCTCATTTAAACTATTTTTATTAAATTAAATCTTAAATTTTTTTTTCTCACCTTCATTAATGGTTGAATTTTTATTTTATTTTTAGTTTATAAAAGTTCAAAAACTTTTTGTGAAAAAAATAGATTCAAGAAATAATATTTATATTTTTAAAAAAATTATGAAAAATAAATAATAATTTCATATATATTTAATAGGGTAAATTAAATTACATTTATATTTTTAGAAAGTGTTTTTTTTCGTTGTGTATTTAAATTAGTATTAGAGTTTGATTTCTTAATCTTGTCAATAAAATTATATAAGTATGAGGTATACGGAAAAAGTAAAATTAGATAATTTAAATAATAATATTTGGCTATAAATAATAATAGAATAAAATAAAGGTGAAAATTAAATAATAATGTAAAAGTTTAACCATTAATGGAGGTGAGAAATTAAATTTAAGATTTAATTTAATAAAAATAGTTTAAAGGGGGAAAATAAAGATGGAGAAATATATTTTAAGTATCATGCAATAAATTAATTGATTAATTTTATTTTTAGGTGTAAGAAATAAGAAATTATTTGAATTGTTTATTATTCTCAAATTATCTCTATCTTTCATTTCCTATTAATTAATTTTAATTTATTGCGAGGCGATTTGATTTTTTTTACTACTACATTTATTTTTTAATTTTTTAATCATGTAAGAATAACTTGTATTTTTTCAAATATGCATCAATTAGAAATTAATGACTAAAAAATAAAAATAAAAATTTATTAATAATATTTTAACAATTTAGGGATAAATAATTTTCTTACATATGAATAAATAAGTAAGACAAATTACTAGAAAAAAAAAAAAATCCATTTTTAACTCACTTTCTAAAATAAGCCTAACCAGAGGCTAAAGCAAAATTGTCCTTACAAAAAATAAGTCCACCTCCAATTTGGAGGCAAGCTAATGGCCTAATGGCCTTGCTTTTGGTCCATTCCAAAGGCATACATATATTTAGGCCTAGTTTGGAAAGAGTAAATAAGTGTACTTTTTGATTTTTTTTTGTATTATGTGTAAAAAAAGTAGAGAGGAGATGTTAATTGATGTGACCCAAAAAAGATAAAAAGATGAAATAAGTGCACTTTTTCTTTTATAGCCAAACTTGGCCTTGTTAATGGTGGGGTGCACCTAACTTTTCTCTTTCTCTTTCCAAATCCTTTCTTAAATCTCCCAACCAAACACAACGTAAAAATTTTGTGAGGAAACCGTTTATGCATAACATTACTTAACTTAAAAACCCTTTTTAACCAATTAAAATTTATTTTTCGAGTCTCTTGATGTCATGCTAAAATCAATGGTCAAGTCAGTCAATAGAGACATTTATGCAATTAGTTATGTCCAGCTTGAGGAAGAAAAAGTAATGCTTTACCGTGTGGTTTCCTTTTCATATGCAGTTTAGCTTTAAACATAGATGGAATTAATTAGAATTTTATTATCAGAGGAGTTAGAAGATAAATAATAATTTTTTATTATATATATGAACACAAATGTATGTATGATATAATATATAAATTATATATATTTTTCTTGTCCATTCTACTTAATGAATTTTTTTTTTTGATGATCAAAAAAATAATAAAAAAATTTAACTAGCATAGAAACAATAAAGAAATTTTTTTGGCAAAAGATAAAAAGATAATGCAAAATAAGAAAAGGATGAAATATATATGTTTTATACTAAGAGATCAAAATATATATATATATATATTTAGAAAGGCTAAGATAAACAGAATTTTTCACGGGAATAAAAAAGTTATAGCTTCCCATAATCTTCTTCTAATTTCATTCCAGACACTAACTTGATGCTTACGTTTATCACATTAAGGCCACGCAGAAAATCTATACACTAAATTGTACCTTCACGTGCGAAGAAATTTTAAGCGTCCAACTTTACAATTCAATTTCTACTCCAAGGAAAAGTTGAGAAATGGACGAGATTGAAATGCGGAAGATAAAGCTTCTCTTTAGATGATCCAACTGGAAACGTGATATGCGGATTTGATGGGCTCACTCCAATGAAACTGAAAAATCTAAAATTTTTGAGATGTTTATTTGTGTTTGTGTATTAATTTTAATCAGTAAATAATAATATTAATCAAATAATCAAAAATAAATTAACACAACAATTTAACGCGGAAAAATCACAATTGAAGCGTCTCCAATTATGATAAAAAAAACTACGAGCAAAAGTCATAAAACAATCCACTAAGAAAATTCAAAGGAATTACACAAGTATACTCTCAATTACTTACCGAATTCACGCCCAAATCAAACCGACCCTTATGTGCCTCTTCTAGCCCCATCTTTACCTCAAAATTGTCTTGCCCAACATTGAATCTACAATACCGATGTTGAATCCACGACGGTGAGCCACTTCGGAATCCACCAAAACTTCAGGCTCAAGTTTCACGGAACTCACCGCAAAAGAAGTCTATCTTTCGTGAATAAAACAAACTAAACAAACCATTTGATATAACCTACTCAATTCATTATTAAACTCTCACAGATTTTAAAGGAAACAAGCAAAGATTTCTAAGTGACTCAACCTTTATTTTAAATGACATATATATTTATAATTTATGAAAAATAGTGTCACATGATATTCTATTGACACACAAAAATTTCTAAGTGGCTCAACCTTTATTTTGGGCTAAGGCTAGCCATCTAAGTGTGACCCTTATATATATATATATATATTCTTACATTGTAATTTTTGTTTAATTTAAAATTTATTTTCCTTGCTTACTCCATCATGAATGACTTCAATATCTTCTTACTCTTCACCTAATTTTTTTGTTAAATTTTGTTACGAGCTTGATTTTCCCTCCAAGTTCTCTCATGGGTTTGAGATCACGTGCTGTCTTCTTCTCAATACTCATTTTCCTAGTGTGTGTCACTGTGGAATCCCAACAAAATCATTCAAGCAAGATGGTAATTAATTTAGGCTCTTCACTTTCTCCCACAAGTGGTACTCCTCCCACGTCATGGTCCTCTTCTTCTGGCCTATTTGCATTTGGTTTCTACACACAAGATACCGGCTTTAAGGTCGGAATTTGGTTGGTGCTCAATAGAACCAAAACAGTTGTATGGACCGCGAATAGAGATGATCCACCAATCACCTCCATCAATTCGACTCTGGAGCTGACCAGGAATGGGAAACTTGTTCTGAGAACAGAGCACGGAAAAGAGAAGCTGATAGCAAACACCACAGGCTCTGCTGCCTCTGCCTTGATGCTCGATTCGGGAAATTTTGTTCTATACGACACTGACTCCCGAGTCATTTGGGAGTCTTTTAATTTTCCAACCAACACCATTCTAGGAGGACAGACACTTGCAATGGGTGCGAAACTGATCTCTAGCTTATCAGACACTCAATACTCAACTGGGCGGTATAAACTCATTATGCAGGCTGATGGGAAGCTTGTTTTGTACCCACTTAACACTGCAGATAGGGGACTAGATGCTTATTGGGCCTCGGGCACTTTGATGAAAGTCCCCAAATCCCTTTCCCTTTACCTCAATCAGTCTACGGGCACTCTGGATATCATAAACAGCACTAGTTTGAGAATAATCAAATCCTTCAAACCGGAGTCATCTTACAACAATAACAAAACAATCATTTATCGTGCAACACTTGATTTTGATGGAGTTCTCAGATTGTACTCTCATTTTCTTGATGAGACTACTAATGATTTCAAGTTTCAAATTGATTGGAAAGCGCCGGAAAATCCATGTGAAGTGAAAGGTTATTGTGGCTTAAACAGTTTCTGCACATTAGATGACAACCAGCCATATTGCCGTTGTATTCCCGGTACACATTTTGTTGATCCTAACAAGTGGTCGCTCGGCTGCGACACAAACTTCCCTCGAAAAGGGTGCGAGACTGGGATAGAAAATGACACCACCTCATTTAACATTACTACCATGGAGAATATAGAATGCGGAGACCTTCCATATGCTCAAGAATCACAAATGTCAATAGAAGATTGCGAGAAGTCTTGTTTGGAGGATTGCTATTGCGAAGCAGCTGATTACTCATTGGACCACAGATATTGCAATAAACAAAGTCTTCCTCTTATATATGTTAGAAGAAATGTTGTGGGAGCCTCCTCCAAGCTCACGGCAATCTTTAAGGTGCGCATCATCAAAAGTGAGAAGCCAACACTACCACCAACACCAACACCAGCACCAACACCAACACCAACACCAGCACCAACACCAACACCAACACTAATTTTGGTCAAGAGCAGAAAAGAAGTAATGTTAATACTACTTGTAACTATGGGTTTACTTACAAGCTCATGTGCTGCTCTTTCCATCTCTGGCACATATATTTACAAATTTAGAGTTTTGAAGCACAAAAGGCTGTTGCAATGTGGAAACTTGAGCAGTACGGCAGAGCTCACCTTGCATTTGTTTTCATACAGTGAGCTCAGAAAAGCAACCAATGGGTTCAAAGAAGAGCTAGGAAAGGGCTCCTTCGGAGCAGTTTACAAAGGTACTTTGTGCAGAGGAAAAAGGTTAATTGCGGTGAAGAAACTCCAGAAGGTTGTGGAAGAAGGTGAAAGGGAGTTTCAGGCAGAAATGAGAGCAATGGGGAGAAAACACCACAGAAACTTAGTGCAATTGCTCGGATACTGTATTGAGGGTTCTAAAAGGCTTTTGGTTTACGAGTACATGAGCAATGGCTCTCTTGCAGATCTTCTCTTCAAATCTAAAAGGAGCCCGGATTGGAATGAGAGAATCAGAATTGCCCTAAATGTTGCGAGAGGGATACTCTATCTACATGAAGAGTGTGAGACTCCTATAATTCATTGCGATATAAAGCCTGAAAACATATTGATGGATGAGTTTTGGAATGCAAAAATCTCCGACTTTGGGTTGGCCAAGTTTTTGATGCCTGATCAAACGAGCTCCTTTACAGGAGTCAGGGGGACTAGAGGATACTTGGCTCCAGAATGGCAGAGAAACAACCCCATATCAGTCAAGGCTGATGTTTACAGTTATGGGATAATGCTGTTGGAAATTGTTTGTTGCAGAAGAAGCTTGGAAGTTAATGTATCAACATCAGAAGAGGTGGTTCTGTCTCATTGGGTCTATAGGTGCTTTGCTGGGAGGGAGTTGAACAAGCTTATTGTTGTGGGTGATGAAGATGTTAACATGACGACACTAGAGAACATGGTTAAAGTGGGACTTTGGTGTATTCAAGATGAACCAGCTCTTCGTCCTTCCATGAAAAGTGTAGTTCTGATGCTTGAAGGCATTACTGATATATCAATCCCTCCATGTCCAACTACGTCCTAATGGATGTCATCTATAGAAGTTCATTAATAATGTACCAGCATCATCTTCTGTTGGAGATCAAGGATTAGCAGTTCTACTGAATAGACCATGTGACTGCAATAATATTTATCTGAAGGATATCTTAGTATATAATTAATTCTTGCTTATATATATATATATATGTATAATCTATTATTGAAGTTATGTAATTTTAATAATTTACTCTCTTAAAGTAAATGTGCAAATAGTTTGCCGGTGTATGTAATGATAAATTTCAATGTTGTTGTTGTTGTTGTAATCAATAAATAATAGTTTTCTGTTTGGCTAAATTTTCACCATTTTCTTGATGAAATGGTTGAACAGCTCTTGCTTCTTGCCTACCTCATCTTTCTATATATATTTTTTTGTTTGTCAAGAATACTACTGATGCTGCATATTCTTTTATTATACATCCTCCTTTACTATGTTTATGTGCACAAATATCTTATAACAACACAATCTATTGAGTTAAACAAACAATTAATAATAATACTAATAAGATAGATTTAGAAAAATTCGAGTTGTGTAGTTACTAATCAAAATCTTTATTACTTATGTTCCTTTATTAAGTTAAACTATTGTGCATGCTTTAGTTTTCAATCCTGACTAGAGATATATAATTTTAAGTAGTAATTCATAACTAAATTAACTAAAACGTAAAATTTGTTACCCCTAAAGGGTGCATATTGTATGCACCCTATGATAACTATTGTATGCATAACATTTGAGAAGTTTATTTACATCCGCTTATATCTTTAGTGGCCTTTGATTATGAGTTTCGTGATATTTTGTTATGTCACATTGTGATTTGAAGTAGTTTTGACTTGTGAGGCCATTTATGTCAAATCAAAATAGGTTCAAAATTTAGTAATATTTGATTATGACCCATAGTGGTCTTTTTGTCAACATTCGTGGTGATTCTTTGTTATAAATTAAGTAATGTTTGGTTACTGTAACAACCATCACCACTGATTAGTACTAATCTATGATTAAGTATGTTAAGTGACTGATTGACTGAAATTCTAACTGATTAATTGAGTGTATTAGTTTGAATGCATGTCTATCTGTTTGACTGCTAATGGTCTGTTCATGTTTTATGTTTTAAACTGCAAATTGAAGGCCTTGTCGGCGGCCGAATCTGAAATTGATTGGTGTTTCATGATTATTAGAATTTATATGATTTTATGGCATGTTTAATTGAAATTTGGTTTGGTATGATTAAACTAGATTAAATAATGTTAAATTACATTGGATGGCTTATTTACCAAAATGCCACTAAGTGGACTTTGCTAGACCAATTGTATAGTCTTGATTTACATGTGTTGCATCTTTTTGTTCATTTCATCTAGAGCAAAACCGACTAGAGAGAGGGAGAGTTAGGAGAAAAACTTAACTCATCAAGAATTGCTTGGAGAACTGGAAGAAATTGAAGAGAGATTGCATATTTGAGCTTCCCTTCTTGAACTAGAAGACTTAAGGTAGAGCTTTTACCTTCTTGTTTATAAATTGAGTTAGTTCTTGCATGGTTTAGAAGAATGTTGAAGTCTAGAGCCAAGTTATGGCTTAAAATGTGGAATAGTGAGCTTGGATCATGCATGCATGTACATGTTCTAGCATTTTGAGGTTATTTTCATGGAAATTGCTACATACATGTCTATATTCTAGCTATGGTCCATGAATTCATCATGTTTTTGAGTGAATTGACTCATTTGATTATATATTGGAAGCTTTGAAGTTGATTAAATTCATGCATGTTGCATGTTTATCATGTTTTTGAAGTTTTGTTTGGAAATGGGTTCAATTGATCTACCTTTGGGCTTTGATTTTGCAAATTAATCTTTGAAACATGTTATATTATGAGTTTTAAAGTGTTTTCTAGAAAATTTGCCCAAAAGGATCGAATTTGATGCTTTAAATGTTGAGTTTCATGCTTGGAGACAAAACTGGAAATTCCAAATTTTGGATCTACGCTCGAGCGAGGAACTTCACGCTTGAGCGTACACTCTGAGTTCATGTAGTTCGCTCGAGCGAGTAAAGTAACGCTCGAGCGTGAAATGCGTGTATCCAGTTGTAGACACCCTGTTTTTGACCGACTTTAAGACTCAGACGTCATCGATTGAGCGCTCGGTGATGACGCATGTTGTGCTCGTTTTGAGGTTTCGGAGTCTCGGCTGAGAGCCTTGCCTCCGGACTTCGGGACTCTTTTGTGCTTTGCCTCGGTTTACGAACCAGGTCTTATTTTCTCTGTTTTCTCTTCCCGAAGGGAGGGAGAGGTCTTGTAGACCATCTCTCAGTGGCCGTAGGCTACGTTCCGTGGTCGTAGGCCATTTTTTCCCGTTTGGAGACCAGTTTTCGGTTTTTCGAAGCAGTCGGCTGTGTGCCTCGGTTCGGGACCGCTTAACTACCTCCGTTTGCTCCAATTTTTGGCACACACCTTGATTCCTATCCCTAGAGGGACACTATGGCCCGGGAGACCACCTTCGTGGTCGCACGCCACTTCCGGTGCTTAACAGTCAGTTTTCGGGGCCCCCGGCTGCGCGTTTTGGCCCCCGAACCCTCGTTTTGCATCGGTTAGGGTTCTTTTTTGGCATGGACCCTAGTTTCTTTGCTAGGAAGGTGGTACAAGGATGAGAGACCACCTTTTCTTCTTGGAAACCAGCTTTCTCCTTGGAGACCACTTTTCTCTCTCCTCCAGCCAGTTTTCTTGTCGGGAAATTGGCCTCCCTCACTTTTAGGCCATAATTTTTGGTCTCCCATACCACCATTGTGTTGTACTCATCTGGGAGGCCACCAATAGGGGTAAGCTGACCAGCTTTTCTTCCTGACCCTTTTGAACCTTGTTGGAAAGCTGGTTTTTCCCTCTCTTGGGCCACAATTTCTGGTCTCCTACCATACCACTGTGTTGCACTCACTTGGGAGGCCACCAATCTGGTATGGCCGACCACCTTTTCAACTTGACCCTTTTGACCCCTGGTCGGCCGACCAAGGGGAGTGGTCGGCTGGCCACCTTGGCTGGTCGGCCAGCCTTCTACTTTTTGGTCTTTTTGAGTACATTACAACTGTGCCAACTGGGGGGCATTTGCCCCATCCTCCGGGATTTGACCCTTTTGTTTGTCTTCTTAAGGAAGATTTGGCCCCTTTTGCTTAGTTTCTAAGGGAAGCTTGACCTTTTGTCAAGCTTCTTGAGGAAGCTTGACCCCTTTGGTCTAGCTTCCTCAAGAAGCTTGACTCTTTTGGTTAAGCTTCTTTTAGAAGCTTTGACCCTTTATTGAGGCTTCTCCAAGAAGCCTTGGCCCTTTGTCTTCTATAAGAGACGTTTTCCTCTCCATTAGAAAATGTTAGAAAATTTTGGCTGCGGCTTATACACTTCTCCCTCCATAGCTCTCTTCTCCAAGCTCCAAACCCCATTATTCTTGCACCCATTACACTACACCTCCTAGCACAACACCTCCACCATCCATCCAAGCACCTTGGAACTGATTTGCAGAGGTTGAAGGATCATTAACTTGGTCCAGAAGTTGCTGAGGGTCGGCTCTACAAGGAAACTCATGATATCTTGTTTTGATTACACTTGTGTGTTTCTTTGCATTGCATTTGCATTGGTGCGCCTAGGACACCGTGTTTGCCATCTGCTAGTTAGGTTGACTGCACAAATCCTGTTTCTTATCAGCTGTTGTTGATGTATGTTCTTTTCCTTACTTTGTAATACTCGTTTCCTTTATGCCAATAGAGTATCCTGGAAAAATCTTTCTAAAGTATGATATAATATATATATATATATACTACCCCCATGGAACATCTGTAGAAAGGCCTTAAAAATAAGGAGGCTTTGCTATAATTATATCGTTCTTAGGCGTGCGTAAGATTAGTGGATAAGCTACAACATTGCCACTGATGAAATTGTCAATAATTTTCTTGGGTGGAAATTCTACATTTCCTTTGTATTCTCAGTAAATGGACCTATCATGAACCGGCAGCCAATCTCGGTTAGAAACATCACCCTGCAATGTCAAAGTTGTAAGACTTATAACTTTTTATTTCATTTTTATCTTTGCTATGCTGCAAAAAAATAAACGGTGGTTTGAAACTATAACCCAATTGACTGAAGTTTACAACAAATCTACAAAAAAAAAAGGTATGGAATTTCTTTCAATCACTCCATTTTTTGGGGGTTTTTGCTTTGTCTCTAAAAGTATATATATAACCGAATAATCTCTTTATATTTTGTGTAAGCTTTTCAATTAACTATGAAATACACCATAAAGTTGTTGAAGTGTTTTACTATCGAATTTCACTTTTCACTCAGTCTTTTAGTGTTTCATCTGTGGCTATGGGTTGGTATATGCCCCATATATACAAACCCCTAGGTTTAAAATTATTATATACATGAGTGGTGTAATTTTCACTAGTTCTTTTGGGTTGACTTTTAATCGACATTTGATCATGGTTCCGATGTCTGCATCAGATTCTCTACTATGACGTGCTCAATTTGAGCAAGATGAGACATAGGATCTTGAACGTTATAAAAAGTTTTACGAGGATTGCCTTCAGGATTTTTGGGTGCTCTTCCCATCCTAAGTTTCTATCCTCAGGTGTCACAATAGATGGAGGACCAGTTAATCTAACACGAGTATGTCGATTTTTTATTCTCAAATTCATGCTTGTGCATAAGTTAATTTTATTTAGCTCATTTTGAAGTTTGAGTAATGACTATAAAATAGGTTTGGGAAACAAAAATGAATTCTTACCAGCTACAATTGTGCAAAATTATAGTTCTTGTCAACATAATCTTTTCTGAATCTATTACGCCATCAATGCATTCATTGCACTAAACTTTTTAAATTACATTTCATTTGAATATGAGACTACTAATTGAGTGACCCATAAGAATATAGTTCACAACATCAATTATGATATTATCTATTTTCTTACCTCATCTAATTAACGAGTCCGTCTTCACTTTGGGTTTACATGTGTATTTATAATCAAATTTAATAATCCCTTCTTTTTTTTATTATTTAATACCATCTATTATTCATTATTATTAAATCACACGCTAACTAAGTTTATAATTGAGTGTTATGGTTGCTTCGACCATTGTTACTAATTTCTAA